GAAAGAGAGAGAGAGAGAGAGCCACGGTGTTAGGGCTGTAGGAATTCAAGGATTAAGGGACTGAGAAACTGCTTCTTTGGGCGCTCAAGTCTTGTTAACACCTCCGCCTGGCCCTATGGGCGCTTGTTTGGGGGCATCTTCATGCAGGTTATGAAGGGATTGCAAGGAAGTGTGGGGATCGTGGTCATGTTGAAATTGGGGTGTGTAAGGCGTTTCCGTGGGGCATGCTTCTGAGTCTCTATTAAGGTGTAGCCCAGGAAGAAGAAACTTTCAAAGGAACGTGTTGGGCATTAGGGCTGTAGTTGGAAAATACTTGGAATCCCGTAGGAGCTTTAGGATTGTGTATTCAGGGCTGGCTGCGCCCTATATTACCGCCTGTTAACAAGTTTAGACTCTAGCTCATATGGGCTCAAACTCTGATGCAGCGCAGCAAGGTCAGCAACCTCCAGGGGCACCTCAGGTATAGAAGAACCCAGGGAAAGCCTCAGGTACCCCTACGCCACCCCAAACCTCTTGTCCATTCGGCTCCCGTACGTGGTGGCACATCATCCCCGCAAGTATACAACTTTTCGAACCCTCGAGCACCTCTAGAAACTTGCTTTTGGGAAGCCTGAGAAGTCTTGGGAAATGCTGAGAACCTAGGCCCAGGCCCAAGCCCCTGGATGCTGTCGGGGCTCGCTTGGCAGGCCAAACAAACCGAAGAAGCCCGTGACCCAGCCAATGATGAGAGCCGCAGTGCCCCACGTCACTAATCCTTCCGGAACCATGGAGGCACGGTTTGAACGACTCATGCGAGATACGGTGACTCGTACACATTTACTTCCAAGACTCCAAGGGGAGCACTCGCTGCCAGGCCATTGGACCCTCCACCCTGAACCCGGACCCCTGAGATGGAACATAGAGGCAGGGACCTAGGCCCACCCATGGTCCATTTCAATCTTGGGTCAATCCAGTTCAATCCATCATGACGATTGGCTCTGTAAGTGTAACAATGGGATCAGGCAACTCGTGAAGACCTTCCAGCCACCCCATCAGTCCTGGCCCAGAAACCCTAAACCCTACAGTCCTGGCCCCAGGCCAATTTGCTTGATGATGTAGACAGTGAGGCAATTGCCGGAGCACCAGAGAACACCCCCCGACATGGCCTGCAAGTCTGAAGACTCTTACAACAACTTACCGGTGCTTGAGGGTAGAGGGGTGACGATGCAGACTGCTATGGGGGCATCTATGGGAATTGTATAGAGATCATTATGAGTCAGGCTGCGGGATCAGCGTTAAGAAAGCTCCCGCCCACGCATTGACATACATACATTGTACTGTGACGAATTCTGCAACCTCATCCCAAGCGTTAGCAATTCATCTTACAGGGGGTTAGTTGTCAGTAGGGAATGAAGGAACTTCATGCCTGTATACTCGAAATATTGAATATTCCTGCATTCCCGACTAACCACCAGTAAGCATGTAGTTGTGACCTGCATGGGCCCTGTAGTTCATTATGGCCTGCGAGCGGGAACCATACCTATTACTATTACGAGTATTACGGTTATCAGAAGTACTAGTGCAATTCTTATGGTTAAGACTACTATTATCGCTGTTACTACGGGCTGATTCAAAAAACCGACTTTTTGGGCCAAGATGCCACCGGGTAGAAAGTCGGATTGCTTCGCACCAGCAGAACAATCAAGCCAGTGAACCATATCCCCAGGCATAGCCTAAGTCAACCAATTGTTGGCTGAGAGGAGGCAAACCCCCTGGCACTGCCAGTACTGCTAGTAATTAGTGCACGCACAGATGCTGCATAATGCTGCGACTCTTCCTCCTGCTGCTGCTAATTATTCCTACAAGTTGCGCAGTTCCCACAATCCCAGCGCATCCACTGCCAACGCCGCTACCAGAACAGTTCCATTCTACAGTAGTGTCTTGTTGTTTTCGCAGGACAAGCACTGGGCCTGCACGCAAGCTTTGCGAGACCGGCAGCTAATTATGGGCAAGGTGCACCAGTTGGAAGAGCATTCCATCTCCAGCGTCATACTTCGCCACAACCTAAAGCATTCTGCAGGGACTGGATCAATCAAACCATGCTAGACTTAGACTCGTCCTTCGCTTGCTGAAGCCAGCATGCACAGAACAACGGCAAGCCAGCTGGACTACAGCCATCAAAGCTCGCAACCGTGAATTTGAGACACGCTCTGCAACAAAGCCCTCTGAGGCAAGGGCGGCGAAATTACTTCCGAAGAACAGCACGGCCACTGCGGCACAAAGGTAGCCTCAGTAGCTGATGCTGAGGCATTTTGACGTACCAAGACACGCTCCCTAAGAGACGGCAAGGGACGATGCGGTTCTCTCTGAGAGCCTCCTCCAAAAGCCCTGGAGTAAGCTTCAAAGGCATGAGTTTGGTATGGTGAAACTTTCTTACGCTCACTGGGGACCACCATGCCTCCAAACGGTCGTCCCCTTTTACAGCCAAAGCGCCCCTGCAAAAAATTAGCGACTCCCAGAACCAACAGACCAACCAAGCCCGGGAGTCAAACTTCCCCTTGAGACTCCAGAAGCCTGATACTGCAGTCGCCCAAGTAGTCTGAATGGGGTCTTGGGGTACGTAGTTAAACTTGTGTCTCTGTAGGGATGGGCTTGCAATAGAATATTGTAATTGGTACTCGTTCTCAGTCAGCGCCCAGAGGACATATGTTCGACTTAATGACTGGGGTGAGGCATGTCAAGAACGAGTTGCAAAGTTGTCCAGTCCTGCGTGTGCTCTCATTGTCAAACCGCCTACATTCAGTGTGCACTCAAATCGCAGCTCCAAAGATGATTGTTACAGAGAAAATTTCAGGGTTTAGGGTTTAGGGTCAAATTCCTTCCTCTCGCGACATGACCATGCTCACATTACAGAAACTCCTTTCTGCTGCCGCGCGGCCTACCACGGCTGCCATTGGCCCAGCCAGCGGCACATCCAACAAAACTGGTGGGAAAAACGGGTATGTAATCCTCAAACAAAACCCTTCTAAGTAGCTTCATCTCCAAATACATCCAAAAGGTCCGGAAGCGTGTTCCGATTTTGGGCTTATTCATTTTGTCTAACATGGAACATCATGTGAGCCCAACTGGGCTTCAGTCAGCAACAGTTCACGGATGTACACGAAAAAAAAAAAAGAAGACTTTTGTGCATCAGAATGGGCCTCAGATGGCAAGGAACATGGTAGTTTCCCAAAATAGGGGACCCCACTATAGACCCCAATATGCTATATTCCTTATTATGGGGACCCCCAAAGAAGGGTACCCCTAATTTTGGGAAATCCCCTACATGGGACAGAGATTGCACGGAGAGCTGGCCGAGCTTCGCATCAAGAAGAAGGTTCCTGTTTTCCAAAGCAGTGCGGGCCTTTCTCAACACTATAGTGTAGGGTTTAGGGTTTAGGGTTTAGGGTTTAGGGTGCTTATGGTCTCCACTATCCCAGCATGCGGCATCAGCACCATGAGAAGGGCCGAAGGGAGGGATGGGGACATGACTCCGAACCCAGACAAAGTCACCAATTTCCCTTGCGGACTCTATGCACTCACTTACTACTAGTACAGACTCTACCTCGTACTTGGGATATAAAGCGTTTGTCTCACCTCTTTTTTCCGGTCCCCTTTTTGATAATTTGCCAGACAGCACCTTTCATTTCCCGCTCTGTGAATTTTACACGCGGCCATTTCTCAAAACGGACCTTTTGAAACCTCTGAAAGCGAGCCGTGCAGTGACCCTATGATGTCCTTGCGAAGGATCCGGCAGAGTACGACGTGTGAAAGCACCCTGTTTGAGAAATGCTGCTTGCAGAACCCCTGTACATTCCCTGCTGAGGCAATACGGGGGGGTCCATACATGGGGGGTCCTAATACAACCCAATCTGCTAGAATTTCAGGGACTCCCAAAAGGACCCTCTTCCAAAAAGGCGCCTCCAATCCTTGGAAGTCCCAAACTTTAGAAACCTATACAATCCTATGTCTCCTTATATAAGCATGCATATCTACATGTCCTCCTAATTACCCCTATTTTCCCTTCCCCCATGTTCCCCTATATGATCCTAGGACATTCCGATTTAACGCCATAGATCCCCACATTATCCTATAACCGTATGAGCCATAGTCTAAACACCTAGTATCCCTTTGATAACCCCTATGCTAATCCCCTATATTGCCCCCTTTGAGGAGTTTGGACCCAAAACTCTGAACCTTAGACCCGCAACCCTAGCCCCTTAACCTTTAAACCCTAACCCCTAGACCCTAACCCCTAAACCCTATATAACCCCCTCTAAGGAGTTGAGACTATAGCACATACTGCTACAGCCTGAATCGCTGCGAGCCTTGGTGCCAGGCGGCACCATCTTGGCACGCTCCAGGCGTACTCGCTCCTCATCCTAGGGCTAAGGGGCTTAAGGGCTTGGGGTTCAGAGGCTTAGGGGCTTAAGGTTTTAGGGCTTAGGGGCTTAAGGTTAAGGGCTTAGGGATTAAGGGTTTAAAGGTTTGGGCCTCAGAGGTTTGGGGGCTCAAGGGTTCAGGGTTTTGGGGTTTAGGGGCTCAAGGGTTTAGGGTTGAGGTGTTTAGGGGCTTAAGGCTTTACGGTTCGGAGGCTTAGGGGCTCAAGGCTTCGGGGTTTATGGGTTTAGGGACTTCAGGGTTTAAATTAGGGTACAGAGGCTTAGGGGCTAAAAGGGTTTAGGGGTTTGGGGGCTTAAGCGTTTCGGGTTTAGGTTGCTGTCCAGGAACTTGAAGTAGCTTTGTAATGCAGGCTAGTTCTTATGTAGGAGTTATACACGGAAGCAATACACGTAACGAACCCAAATTGCACTGGTATAATGTAGATGTAGAGTAGATATAGCTGTTGTCATATATATTGGGAACCGAATAAAACTGGTGGGGGGATCATACAAGGGGCTGTTCTGGGGAGTATAAGACAAGCCTGACTAACAGCCTCAGGGGTTGCTTTTGACCCTGTAGTCGTACAAGGTGGTAGCAGCACGAAAAGGAATGCTGACGATTTCAAGCACCTTAAAATCCTTAAAACATCTTTTGAATACTCACGGCAATCATTAACATGGATCGTCGTGCAGGAGGAAGAGGAGAGGGATAAGAACAGTAGCAGCAGTTGTCGCACGAGTAGCCATCTCAAATTGTCCGCGAAGTTACTTGTATGAGATCCAGTGTCCATCGCATCCACTTCTCGTTAATACACTCTGGCAAGGGAGCTCACAGAACAAATGTTTCTCAAAATTGTCCTTCTCTGAGGGTCTTGGGCTGGACCTACACGCCCCTGATGTCGCGCTTTTTTATCAGAGCCCAAGTCCATTCCTTTCTTGTTAAGGCGCGAGGCTCCTGGTTATAAGGATCTTCGCATAAACCATAACTCTGAAAAACCCTGCCCAAATTGTTTACACATTGAGCTACGTTGAATATACCACCCAAAACCCACTCCCGAAACGGTTTGCATGGCTGCCTTGGGCAACAGAAACGGCTGCCGCACGGGATAGCCGGAAAGGAAGGTCCTGGCAAAGGCTATATGGCAAACGGCATCTTTAATAAATGGGGGGAACCCAATACTATAGACCCCCAGATACACGTGATTATTGGGACTGGGCACTAGGGTTTCTGGGGAAGTTTTGGCGGTCTGGCGCTTCGTCAAAAAATCGGAAGCCCTCGTTGGGGCATTAAAAGGGACCTCCAAGGTTATATAAAGACACAGCAGGAATAGCGCAAACCCAGACCCTAAACCCAAAACCCTATACAGCGTTCAAGATTTCAAAGCAGGTTTACACCTTGCAGGGTGCTGCTACTGTTTGAGGGGTCCCCCTCATAAGGGGCTACAGTCTTGCATGCCCCCTGACCCCAATAATAGAGAATCAAATGAACAAGAAAATGGAAAATGAAACGGAAGCAGTTATTACATGGCGTTTATCAGGATTAGGGGTTTCTAAAAGTATGGGTCCCAGTGTGGGAGTCCAGGTAAGGGTGATAGAATTTGCCAACGTTAGATGATCCCCTCACTCAGAATAGCGGATAGCAGATTTTTTTGACAGGACCCTGACGTCATCAATATTATCCCTTGTGGTCCCTATTGAAAGATGGGGAAGCCTTCCTATCCCGATATGGCAAGCAACCTTCACACAGCCCCAAAAGGGGCTCTTACTGGGTTTCATCGGAAGAGGAGCAGCTTTGACGATCGTGGCCTGACATATAATGAAAGTAGGATCATAACAGATCCTCTTTAGGACCATGTAATGGTACAATCCCTTCAAAATCCATACATGCTGCATCATGAAAATATGGTGCCCTCTATACTTGAGGCACATACTTTGCAACCCCTGTGTTTCCCAACAAGGCAGTACGCAAAATGGCGGTCTCCCAAAAAAACTCCTATACAAACACACAATGCTCCAAAGGAACTCAGATCTCAAGCATGGACACCGACACTGGAGCGCTGAAGGTAGGCCCCCAAACCCTAAACCCCCAGCTCTAAACTAAACAAGTAATAATCATAAGAATAGTAATAGCAGTAGTAATCAGAATACTAATTCTAATAGTAATGATAATAGTAATAGTAGTAGCAGTGGTAATTGTAATAAGACCAGAGAGAAGGAAAACCTTCACCCAACCCGGGCTCTTAAGCACAACCAGGGCATGCTCCTGTCGTGGCCCAAGGGCAGTGCTGTCTGCTGTGAGGTGGTCTGTGGGAAGGGCATGGCGAGTCTGAAGCCTCAGGCTTTAGGGTTTAGGGTTTAGGGTTCAGGGTTTAGGGGTTTAGGGGTTTAGGGGTTTAGGGGTTTAGGGTTTAGGGTTATATTGGGTTCTAGGGTTATATTGGGGTTTAGGGTTATAATTGGGTCATATTGGGATAACGGAAAAGAAAATGGGGTTTAGGGTTGTATAGTTATGTTGGGCTTATATTGGGATAATGGAAAATGGCAACTGCTGTTTAGGGTTTACTTACCTTTGGTTAGCTAGGAATGAAGGAATGGAAATGGAAATGGAAACTACTATAATGGGGTTATATAGGGTTTAGGGTTTAGGATCTCTCTGCCTTTGGTTCAGGTCAGCATGCAGGTTTAGTGGTTTGGGTTTCTGGCGTAGTGCTTCGGGTTTCAGTTCCGCGTAACAAAACCTTTTGGCAGGGGAAGAAGCAGCATCCTTTTTACGAATCATACAAGACCTTCGCAGCACTTATCTTTACAGTTGCTCAAGATTGTACTGGAGGCCTTGTCCTGGAGCTAGAGCTCGTTCAGCATCACGAGGAGTGGACTAGGGTGGCTTTTGGAGAGGGGCTGGGGTAAATTAATCACGGTCATGTTACGGTCATGTTGTTGTTAGACAGCCTTGTGAGGGGCTGTTAGAGGTTCGTTAGTAGCAGGAGGAAGTTATTGAATTCCGCCCAATAAACCAAACAAACTCGCAGTGACTTCAAAATGATGCGATTTAGGATCTTGAGAAATCGCTCGCTTGGAAAAATACCTTTGAGAATCAGCCGACTCAGTACCCGGCGAGGGTAGATAACAGGCTGGCGTTCGCTGAAGACCTGCCAGGGCTTGGTACCCTTGCTTTCGTGCCCTGTTTTTTCGAGCGTGTCGGCTCAACGGATTTAGGACTACCTCTTTAGGGTTTAGGGCTTGGCATTTAGGATTGATGGGGAGTACCTAACACCTAAGAGGCTGAACGAAACTACACGTACCAAATTTTCCCCAGTCGTATAGGAAGATAGCCATGCATGGGACCTGCACTACTTGGGATCAAGAAGTCTGATTCCGCGCGTGCCCTCGTGAAGCATAACACCTAGGACAGCGGAGTTTGAAAGGTTGGAAGTATGGGCCGCTAATATGGGCCCTCCGGCCTTTCAGGGGGATCCTAGGGATCCTCAAGGGTACATATGGTAGTTTCCCTAAATTACTGTTCCCAAAATGGGGGAAATTTATATAGGGCCCCGTATTATAATGGGAACCCATATATAGGACCCCGTATTATAGGGAATTTAGACCAATACCAATATAGGGTATAGAGGTCGGCATTTAAGGCTCCCAGGGTTGAGGGCCCATACTAGGGGCCTATGGTTTCAACCTTTGGCAGTTTGGGGTAATATTAGGGTTATTTTGGGGTAATACTGGGATAATGGAAAAGAAAATGGAAACTACTATTTAGGGTTTAGGGTCTAGGGTTTAGGTTGGGTACTGCGCCCACCCAGTAACAGTCTATATTAGGGGTCCTATTAAGGCTTATACATGATCATATTATAATTATTCTCCAACTGTTACTGAGTGGGGGCAGTACCCAACATGTAGGCTTTCCGCCGCTTTATCTTCAAGACCGGCCTGAAGCTGCTTGGGGACGATTTTGATCTTGATGGGGGATATAGGTACCCATTGGGGTAATATGAGGGTTATATTGGGATTAAATGGGGATAATGGAAAAGAAAATGGAAACGTCTATAATGGAGTTATGTAGGGTGTAGGGTTTGGGGTTATATTGGGATTATATGGGGATAATGGAAAAGAAAATGGAAACTACTTGCATGCCTGTACTCCCTTGGAATGCACGCCACGACTCAGGTTAGGAGTTAGGATTTTGACCTAGGGTAAACAAAATCAAAGAGCACTCTAAAAGGGTGTATATCCCTATTATGGTCATAAAATCCTAACCTGCCACAACCCTTGTCGTTTCTTTGTTGGCAAATGAGCTGGAGGGTTTTGATGCACTCTCCCCGCTTTGGCGAGTCAGCGGACATCAAACACTGACTTCGTCCATTTCTCCTGATTCTGCATAGCTTGCGCTGCAAAAAGCTGAATCTTCAGTCTAAGAGTTTCACTCCAGCTGCCGGGAGAATTTGCTGCTGAAGCCTTATGATGGCAACAGACCTCTGCAAAAGCTCCGCGCGAAGCAGATCCACAGGAGCAGTCAATAAGTTGTATTCGCAGAATCAGGAAAGCCCGGAAAAATCGGTCAACTCCTCTCAGAGAATGGCACAACTGGAACAAATGATCCGGAGACCTTCTGAAACTTGGTTATGTCTCAAAACAGGGCCCTTTGTCAACCCCACTTTGATAATTCCCTACACTCTTGATATCACAAGCACGCCAAAATACCCCGAATGAGGTTCTAGATAGCTACTACAGTTACAGCCACTTGCAAAGATCCAAGTGGACATCATACTCAAAAGGGCTACCAGGTTTGAGACATCCCTCTGTAGCCGGGCCGCCCATTCAGGCGGTCCAGTCCCGGGTTGTTCACCCTCATCACGGTCCTCTAGCGTGTATTAAAAGCACCTGGGCTTAGCTAAAAGCCTTGCCACGGGCCTGACCAGGCCGATTCACCAATCCAAGAATAGTCATCATGCTGCTAAGAAGCTTGGTTATAAAGAATCACTGCTCTCGTGCTAGTACTATTAAGTCAAACTTCTAGCAAAACTAAGAACGGAAAGAATGATGCTCACAACAGAACGCCTACGCGGCTAGAATCAGCAGGGTCGGTTTTTGGGCACGCACGACCGTGTCTGTTGCTGCTGGGCTTCCTCAGAGCCAGTCCATTGTCGGAAAAGACCTTGCTCAATGGTTAGATAGGGTTAAATAGGGCGTTACAGTTAAGGCCATCGGATCCGCACAAGCCCCAAATAAGGCGTTTATCCAGTATCCAGCTTTTTTTGGCCCAACTAGCCACACAAGACAATGCCATCTGTGCAGCTGCCTTTGCAGGGCGCACAAACAGATTAACATGGCTGCTCAGGTAAGTCTATTCGGGGTTGAGTAAACAACATAAACAAAGCAGGATCTGAGGGCATCTGCATAGTAATCAGTTCTTGTGATTTCTTTCTTGAAGCGAGAGAGCTTTGCCGCTACTGCTTGAAAAGAGCAAACTCAGACAATTTCAGACGAGCGTCGGGCAGTCAAGCTTGCAAGTGAATTTGAGAGGAAGCATCTAGCTAAGCTGAGCTATGGCTGCTTCAGCTGCTGCACTGCAACAAAGGAGGACTGCTGCTACCACCACCACCACCACCACCACCACCACCACCACCACCGCTGCCGCTGCCGCCGGCACCACCACCAGCACCACCACCACTTCAACATCTCCCTCTTGCCTCCCTCTGAGTCCTTCTGTGTTTATTTCTGCATATGACAACCCCCACTGAAAAGCATGCAGCCAAGCAGCTTCTTCTTGCTGAAAAAGCTGCCCTTTCCTGAGTTCGGCTGCGGGATTTGCAGCGGAATTGAGCAACACAGAACGGTTTCCGCTGCGTCCTCTCCTTTTGTAATAATTAGCTGATGGCTGCTTAGGAATTTGAATTACCATAATTTGGAAACAATGCTGCTTTCTTTTAACCCATATTATGATACCTCAGCTTAAGCTCCTTAACAGCAACCCAGCCATGCTAGAAGTCCGTTTAGTCTCCAAATGTCTCCAAGCTGGAGCTTGGCCAAAAGAATTTACTCCTGAGACAAAACGTACACTTCGGCTGCGTGTTGACCTGACTCAAGCCAAATTAGTCGGACCTAAGCCCTGGGTTTAGGGTTTAGGGGTCGTAGACCCTAAGCATGAGCTCTGGAAAAGGATGCCACCAGGGAAGGACACTCATCGTTCGAGAAAGCTACCGGAAGTGGTAATGTTCCCCAGTGCTATCTAGTAGTGTTGAAGCAGGGAGGTGGCGTGGGTATCTATGGTTTCGGGTCTATATAGGGTTTACGCAGAAACCCATAATCCCAAGATATTGCCGAGCTGCGTTTCCGCTCAACGATGAAATCCTGACAATGTGCGGACATGCGCTATCCAGTTCCGCAGCGTTTCTTCTCGTTGCTTGGGACACTACTGTGATCCGCCATAAGCATACAAAAATGTCTGTAGCACGCCTATCTTAGGATCAGCCCCCATGTTTGCACGATTCATGCAGCAGATAGCTAGATCCGCAGATTCAGATTTGTCCGGCGTCACGTTGATGGATTTTTTTAAGCACCTCCTCAATTTCCCCTCTAAGGTTCACCCTGAACTAACCTTAACTGTTTAACCCTAGACATGCCTGAATGGGGGGAACTTGGATGTTAGTATAGAGAGGAGCGGTTAGCCAGGCAACTTGTCATAACATGAGCTTGAATGGGACTCTTATGACAAGCTTGCATCAAGATGACAGCAATCCTAGGATAATCCCTTGTAGCTTACACCCCGCGCAGAACCTTCCACTCAGGAACTTCCAATCAGAGGTCCAACTGCTAACGCCAATCCCAAAGTCTTCCGCGCTGGACCTACATCCTAAACCCTACAACCCTACACTCTAAACCTATACTGAACCGTGAGCCCTGAATCCTAGGCCCTGATCATGCAATGAAACCCTGCGACCCAACTCCTAATCCCTAATGTATACACTCTTATACTAGAATAGTTTTCATGTTATTTATTTTACATTATCCCAATATAACCCCTATGTAACCTTTATTACCCTGAATCTGAAATTCCCTACATGGCCATCTGCTTGGTCCTGTGAGTCCGGAGAACCATCCAGGTTGTCCTTGGCGGAGGCTCAAGCAGCGTGCCCAATGCCGGAGACTCGAATACAACGGTAATTGTTGAAAAGCGATGGGAGAGAGTCATGAGGCATATTGAGGGAGTGCGGGGAATAGAAATTCAAACCAGGCGTAGGCTTTGTGTTCAGGGACTCCATGGATCCTTCTGCCAGGGCCCTTATATGAAGGCAAAATGTAGCTTTTATGCTATGCATACGAAATCATTATTTTGCTTGTTAGACAAACGGCTTTGCAGGATACGGGACAAAGGGGATGAAGAAATGCTAGGGAATGTTTGTCTCTGAGCATTGCGCATCTTGAAGGCAGCTTAGAAGGCAGCAGCTCCACTAAGATTTTCCTGCGTGGGCAAGACCAATGTTGAACCACGTGGTGTGGTTGTTCAAGCCGAACGGTGGCTTGCATGCCAGCAGAACTTGGATGCATGTCTTAGCGGTGAGACATGGACCCGAATTTTCAGAAATTGCCAGGTAGGTGGGCCTGTCCCAAACTTACCCTCAAACCCTCAACTGCACGTGGTCCTTTCTTTCAGTTGCATGCCATTAGCCAGAGAGGCTCACATAAGTGCGCGCGCCAAAATTCTGGTCCCAATATGTCTAACTCAATATTTGATAGAAAGAGGCCATGCTGCAGATAGAGCCCAGCATCCTGAAAATTCCTCAATGTTTGCCACCACGGTACGTATAGTTCCTCAATGACATGCGAGACGCGCGGAAGCAGCCTTGGAAAAACACGTTGAAGTAACATAGGTGTATATCTCTACACATGCACACACACACACACACGTATGATCATAATTTGTATGATCCCATAAATAATGTGTGTGTCGTAGGGTTTGGGGCAGAGGTACAAGAAAGGACTACACGGCTTATACCTAGGTTTACAAGGGTCTAGTCCGTCTGCAGCCCAAGCATGGGTTGCACTCCGCAATGGGAGCTACAGGGGTAGTTCGTCTTTGCAAGGGTCAACGGGGGGGCCGGGTGCGGGGATTGGTTTGAGGGCTTTCCAAAAAAGGGTGGAC